GGCACCCTGAACAGGACGAAGGGTCCAGCGAGTGGGAGGAGGAGGATCGAATACCCTTTCCCAGCTTAAGGAAAGGATAAGGAACAGGAGAAGTTTACACATAGAGTCGAGAGGTATCAAGACATTCAAAATTAAGACTCTAAACAGGAAGAAGAATCAGGGGATGAAGAAGAGGACAAAACCTCCTGGACGGGAAAAAAAACACAGAAAGAAGGGGTGGAGGTTGAGCAGGAATCACCGGAAGATGAGATCAGGGAGGGAGAAGAACCCCAAATCTCAGTAGAACAAAAGGGCTGTGCAGAATAGAAGCATTTAGTGTCAACAGATAACGACACTGGCTCATCCAAGATCCTATTGGCTGACTATGGTAGATGTGAGTGGAGGGGATGGAGATGCGGGCTGCACCTCACGAGGAACGGAAGATCATTGGCATTATTGATTGGCCACCAGTGGTGTCATGAAGCACGACCTTTAGAGTGGGCCACGCACCTGACCCGGACCATTCTGTCTGCTAGAGGTTAGTTGGGGAGGGGAAGAGCCTAACTAAGAGAAAAGTTATGAAATGATTGAGTGATGAGTCGATTCGAGACTAAGTGATTGTGAAGAATAACAACAAGAGAATTTGTTACCTTTCAGGAATGATAGCAAGGTACAAGGTGGAAGCAGACTACATAGCATTAAATTGGGAGAACAAATTATGTTGCTATCAGCTGAAGAAGCTAGAAGGTGTAGAGATGATACCCTGGGGACTTGTACTGTTGAGCCCTATCTATAAAGCTGGTAACCGCAAACTGTGCATACTAGAATTGTTTGAAGGAAGGGGGAGAAGGAATCAAAAGAATCTGCCAAGTAGAGGTATTAACAAACTCAAGGCATTTACAAGCTATCAGTGTTTCAGGCGGGTGGGGCAGTAGCCACCCAGAAACATATCAGCCTGTCTAGGGTATGTGGGGGAGAGTCCACAAGGACATTAAGAATAAGGCCACCCGTTATCCCTGGTGACGCTACCATGGAGGATGATTGGGGTGTCCATCTCCTTGCCCCCTATTACCAGATGGAAGAAAGGTATGAAGAAAAAGATTCACTCATAGAGATGATTGGTAGAGGCTTAGTCAATTGTACAGAATTATGGGAGCCGATAGTAAAGAGATTCTCTAATGTTACCTTAAATAAGATGCCAATTTTAATGAAGCCCATAGAAAAGATCGATATGGATCACTTAAGAGATAAGTTAATGCGCTGGGAGACGAAGGTGTAGCTTGGGAAGACGATGAGCAGATCGCGATAAATTGGTCAATAGTAATGGGTACATTCCTAGTTATAGCCATCGGGGTGTAATAATATGGAAGATTAAGAGTAAGAGAAGATTAGCGAACGACAGTCTAGTGAGCATGCAACAACTCGAGAGGGAGATGCGGCGGTGTTCCTCACTCAGACAGAACTGGCGAAGAAATTGCTGGAAGACCAATGGAGGAGGCTGTTGGAGACCACCACGTCTTGGCGGAAAACCTCCCACAGCAGAGAGGAAAACATTGACCAAGAAGAACAAACCCTAAAGAACACATCTGCACCTACAGACACACGCACACATTTCATTGCATGTAGAACAAAAGAAAATGAAAAGAACATTTCATTGCATGTGGAAAAAAGAAAATGAAAAGAACATTTCATTGCATGTAGATCAAAAGAAAATGAAAAGAACATTTCATTGCATGTAGAACAAAAGAAAATGAAAAGAACATTTCATTGCATGTAGAACAAAAGAAAATGAAAAGAACATTACATTGCATGTAGAACAAAAGAAAATGAAAAGAACATTTCATTGCATGTAGAACAGAAGAAAATGAAAAGAACATTTCATTGCATGTAGAAGAAAAGAAAATGAAAAGAACATTTCATTGCATGTAGAACAAAAGAAAATGGAAAGAACATTACCCTTGCATGTTAGAAAGTAGAATAGAATTGTATGAGACAAATGCATGGTGCATGTTAAATGATGTAATTAGGTTTAGGTGTCATTTACGGGTAAAATGACAAATCGGTTAGGGAGGATTATGGCACCTTGCATTTATTGGAAATATTCATAGAAATATGAGTTAATTTTTCTTATTCAGTTTATTAAACAGGTTGTTAATTTTTTTTTTTTAAAACGGAAAATAACTGGGTTGAAAATAATTCACTAAGAATGTACTAAACGATCCTAAAGCAAGGAAAAGAAAGAAAGGAAAAGGAAGAAAGGAAAGATAATAACAAAAGGGGAAAGAAAGGAAAAGACATGATATCAAAACAGGCCTGGGTGGTGTGGACCAGATGTCGGTCGGAGCCTCTGACTGACCTTAATTTTGTTGAAAGAATAGAATTGAGGTATCGGTGTCGAAGCGCTGACCGACATTTTAAGAGAAGAATTTTATCAAAATAACGAAAAGGTAACTTTTAAATTAGAATGATAGAAATGAATTTTACTTTAGTCAGAGAGAAAGTGTCTTTGGGTTGGGGAAGTGACTGGTGAAAACGATATACGGAATTGACCTGTTAAGAATTGGACACCCACGTTAAGAAAGTAGAGATATTTCGACCTAGATAATTAAGATTTTCGACTATCAGGTAAAACAAAGAGGTAAAAAGAAGAACAATTGCTTTTGGCTCACAGAGGGCGCCAAGAAGGCGGAAAAGAACCTTTTCTAAAGTCAAGACTAATTAGCAGCGGGCTGTTTGACAAAGTCCAGGTGAAAGAAAGCTAAAGATTGTCATTTTGCGTACGTGCAAAAAGGTGCTAAAAAAATCGGATTTTGTTTTTTTAAAACCAGCACGAGGTAACCACACCCCGCCAACAAAGGGAGAGGGTGTTAGGTCAATAACAATTGGTCGAATACAATCACGTGAATTGACGAAGAAGAAGAAGAAAAAAACCTCGATCAATAACTGTTGGACGAGGCGGTCACGTGGGCTGCGGAAAAGAAGAGAAAGAGAGGTTCGATCAGGAACGATTGGTTGAGAGCGATCACCTGACATGAGAGAGACTAAGAGAAATAGATGTGCGCCGCCCCAAGAGCACTGTGAGAAAGTAGGGGTGAAAACAATAACGATAATGGAAAGTCAAAATTAATACGGCTTTTGAAATTATCGAGAAAACCCTGACGCCGACAGACCCACCCCAGTTTGTTCAAGGCGTCAATATAAGCAGGACCCCAGTCGACAGAAATCAGTTTGAGTTGGAGATGCAGCGGAGTTGGGCTGAGTTGCAGCAGGATGGGCAGGGAAGATCCTGAACGGACATAAGACCCGATTCACTTCGCCCCAAAGCAAGAATTGGGCAAAAGAACCCTCAGACAGAAGGACTTCCAGCCCAAGTCGAAGACAGAAGAACTTCCAGCCCAAGTAGATGAAGAAGAAGATTGCCTGAAAACCTGAGAAGAGTTGGAGCTGAAGTTGAGTTGAAGTTGGAGTGGAGTTGCAGTTAAAGTTCATCCCCGGACGGCAGCGAGAAAAGAACCCTCAGACAAGAAGAACTTCCAGCCCAAGTAGAAGAAGAAGAAGAAATACAACTCAAGTCGGAGAGAAGAATCAACTGCGAATGATCGATAGAAATTAGCCCCAGTGTCGAACTGAACCACACTCCGACATACATACATGATTCTAGAAAGTAGGTAATTCGACATTTTCCTATTGTGTGATAGAAGCTTGGTGCCATAGTCCACAGAGCGGGTCGGGAATTGAGAACAATTTTGTTTTTATGTAACGGACTTTAAGATATAAAAGGTTGTTACCCTTTTTATCAGCAATTTTGTTTGGTGTCGTGAGTTTTTATTTTATTTGTGTTTTGCCACCCCCGTCGGACTCAACTTGTATCGGCCCCGATCCCTGCTGGTCCCGTCTGTCTAAGATCTAAACACAGCGTGGGTAGACAGACCGGAGATCGGTATAGTTGCTTTAGTGACCAGGTATTGAAGCGAGTCGGGAAAGGCGAGGCTGGTGATCATCTGACCAAAGGGTTGGGCGGCACGCTTGGACCCAGGAGGAGCGACCAGGAGGAGCGACGTCACCGTTGGCGCCGAACCAAAGGATCCGACACTGGGCCAGGTGTGTAACCGTCACAATATTCTTGGAAAGGTAGAAATTAATCTTTTCTCCCCATCTCTCCAATTAAACAGCAAGGAAGACAAGATTTCTTTAGCTGTGATTCATAACAAATCTAAAAGACAACTTAGAGTTTGAAGTCATAGAGAAATCAATAGGAAACCACTTCACTATTTCCCCACACTATAATCATGATGGCACTACAGTTAATAGATAAAGGGGCTGTTAAAAGTCATGATCACCTACATTTCCAAAAGGCATGGCATTAAAAAAAAAAAAAAAAATTACATAGATTTATATTTATTATAAATTGCAATGTGATTGTACTTGGAGGCTAGATATAGAAATTTAAGGGAAGTATTTCAGAATTTGCTCTCACTTTTTACCCACTGCTGTATATTGACAACTTGAGTAAAATTGTGATAAAAAGTATAGTAGGCAAAATTAATGTTATCGGGTAGCTTTAATAATTCTAAGAGGAGGTGCTGAAAAGTTTTAAGCAAGTCCAAGAAGGGATAAAAAAAAAAAAAAAAAAATGATTAGATTCTTGAGTAATCAGGCAAAGAATTCTTCAGTACCTCCTCAATTATCTCTACTGCCATTTGAAAAAATGAGTTTTGCTTTTTAAAAAAATATCCAAAAGCTAGCTAACAGGAAATGAAAGAAATAAAAAGTAACATTATCTTGCTCATTATTAGTCTTATTGATTATTAAAGAGATATTCAGATCATACAACACAAAGCCTGTTCATTTATTGGCATCAAGTAATACCTCCCGTTACTAGAATAATTAAATATGTTATTAGTAAATAGGGGAGATCAAACTGTGTGCCTAATAAAGTTATATTGGGTAATATACAATAAAAAGTAAACTATTGTTATGGTCAGAATTAATAGAACATGATAAATGTTGTGTAAATATACCTCAAAATTCATCGAGATTGGTGGCCTTGTCCATTTCTTCTTATCATTGGTATTCAGTAACTCAATTTCAGCACTTAATTGGCACTCTTTCATGCCACCCATTCGTTTTATTCTAAAAGAAAATAAAAGAAAATAAAAGAAAGTACTAATTTGAAAAATAGACAAAATTTTTAGATTTAGATTCAGTAAAAAAATAAAAAATGTGTTAAAAGTGAAAGGAAAGATAGTATGTTAAGTTAGGCTTGGAAAAAAGTTTTAAGTTTGGCTTCAGGTAAGAAAAAAGTCATAACAAAAATCAGTAATATTTTCATTAATTGCTTTAGAGTAATGAAAGTTATATTAAATTTAGTAATAAAATAATATGTTAAAGTCATTGTTGACAGTAAAATTCATATGTAATGTATAGTAATGATCTTACTTTTTTTCTGGTCAAATTTATGAAACCTGAAATCATAAGGCATATATTACTCACAATGACATGCAAAAAGACATGGGACAGGTGCCTTGTACTGTAAATGACCCAGTCTAGCCCAGCAAAGTATAACAACCTGATGTGGTATTGATTCCACAAGTGGTCAGAACACTGGAGAGTTGACTTGTACCACCTTGATAGCTGTCCATAGCTTCTTGATATTTGTAGATGCAGTATCTTGTGTGCAAATAGACCACTCCACCACATCCAATAAATGCTTGATTGGCTTAAAACTAGGCAAACATAGTGGCCACACCAATCATTGATAGTCTCTAGCCACAATAAAATGGTGACTTATCTTGCTCGAATAACCCATCATTGTTGGGAAGCAATGAAACAGTGGTCACTGATCAATTGTTTGGACCCAATCCATGCCACATGAATATTCCTCACAACATTATAGAACCATCCCCAGCCTGCACAGGGCCTTGTTGACAACAGGGCTTCATAGCCTCATTGGGTTTGTGCCACAACTGAATCCTATCAATAGTTCAAAGCAACAGAAACCATAACTCATTGAACATGTTGACTGTCCACCAGGGTCCAGTTAGTGACATTGCAAACCCAGGTGAAGCACTGGATCAACAGGAGCATCCAGGTGGGTTTTCTACTCCCATATTCCATAGGAGATAAAGAATGCTGAACTGACCTGTTGATATGTATCTGGCCCACCAGCATTGAATAAGAATGTGATCTGAGCCAGTTTTACTTATCAGTTGTTGTAAACAATTCTAGGCAGACTCCTTTGTTTAAAGGAATAAGAATCCATGGTCAGTTACTGTACTGTCCATGATAGACATTAATGCCTCCCATAAGATATCCCCAGTACACACATATCATAAATTAATTAATGTCAAACATGCCTATAATCTCAGAAATGGAATATTTCATCTATCTCACATCCAATACCATGCCTTGTTCAAACTCCAGTAATTCACATCACTTTAGTAGGAGTAGCCTAGTCAGTATTCACACTGATTGACCATGTGTCAAAGCACAACTGGTATAGATCTGAGCATTTCCATGACTAAGTCCTGGTGGTGCCATCTATTATTACCTTTATATATTGCCATTCCATGACTTTTGGTACATCAGTTTACTATCATTAGAAATTATGTGGATATATAACTGTACAAGTGAAAAAAGATCTTTAATTCTATAAAAGGATCTGTTTATTACAGAAAAAAAAATTTACATAAAACCTGTTGTTGCTTTTTTTTATCCATTAGTTTTGTCACAGGAAAAGAAACAGAGAAAGAGGGTAATACAAATCTGTGTTTGCTGCTGGTATTGTAACTACGATTGTCTTATAGCAGTCTTTCCTCACTACCAAATAATCATGTGTTGAACACATTTAAAAGAACAAAACTAAATTTAACATATTTTTTACAATTTTTATTACATTTTAACAAGTCAGCTTTTGCTTTAAAGTTTAAAAATCTATCATTGTTTTAATAGCATTTCTTTTTAGTATTGGAATGACTATTTCCTTGAAGTTTTAACTGTCAAAACAAGATTTAAGCATGAACTGTTTAATGTTTAGAAAACCTAGATAAACAAAATGTAAAGTATAATAATAATTACTTTATGGATTAAAGCCACTATTACATTTTGTTTATCTAGGTATTCTACCATGCTAACCTTAAAAAGATATTCTCAATTAGCCTACAAATCAAAAGTATCACCTGCCTTCCATCTCCATTGGCCCAACAAAGCTGGGATTCCACTTACTGAGGTACATCATATCCTCCAACACAAGATTGGCTAGAGAAATAAGTAACAGACTGGCCAACCTAATCAAATCTTTAATGGCACAAATGCATTTGCAGAAGAAACTTCACAAAACAAAACAATGTCTTCAAACCCATTCTGCTGCACATTCTTCTACACAGTACCAAAATCTGGGTTTTATACCAGCACCATTGACATACCTTCAAGCACTTCTATTACTATTGCTTCTGTACCATTCTAAAAGTTCATTGGATTGATTTCATTAAGCTCTAGACCTAACCAGTGTTACAAGTTCTGAATCTACGCTACAAAAGACTCAACTATAGTTAGCTCATCACATGGCATGAATGGAGAGTTATTGTACTCCAAAGACTATTTGGAAAATTAGTTTCTGGCTGACAAAAGTAGATGCACTGAAGTGATACAAAAACATTTTGAAAAGGACCCTTATTACTGTTCACCTCAACTACAATCAGTAGGAAACAGAAGCAACCAAGAGTGCAACATGAAAGTATGAGATTTATCAGATAAACCTTTTACAAATTCAAGCCAAATAAAAAAAAAAAAAAAAAAAAAAAAAGAATACTAGTACTGCAAGGCTAAAGCATATGCTTACTGCCAGATCTCCCTTGTATTTGAAGTGGAAAAGGTTTTGAGACAAATATAGAAAACCCTCCCAAATCTTTGTTTGTAAAGCTATGAAATCAAATATAAAATTAACTAGCATAAAATGTATGGTTATCCATACATAATCTTGTCATCTAAATTATAAAACTTCAAGAATTAATGGGGAGGGGGAAAAGAAAAAAAAAAAAAATCAATCTAAGTTTGATTAATAAATTAATAATTAATGCAATATCAATGAATACTTACTTCCAAACAATTGCATTTTCACTGGCTTTGTACTTGGCTTTTCCCTTCATACAAATAACTTGTACTCCACTAGTATTAAGAGGAGTGGGAATACGAACCTAAATCAAAGATTAAATTCATAATTTAATTCATCAAGCACAACACTGACATTGTATTTACTAGTAAATGTTATCAAGTCTAACATTAAAAAAAAATGAATTAATATTGATTATATATATCTCATAATCCAAAATCCCAGGTGGATAGTGTAATCCATGAATGATAATGAACCATACATACTAGGTATGTTCAAAATTTTCACCAGAAAATTGACACTGTATTTCAAAAAGTAGTTAAAATGTTAATTACTTTTGATACAATGCATTGTCACCAATTGAAACATTTTGTTTTCATACCTTCTACACACAAATTTAATACATTTTCATTTTTAGTATGCTTTTCACATGCTATGACTATAAATTCACTTGTTTAAAGTGAAATGGCTAGAGTGACTAGTGTTTCTGTTTTGAATCATAGATACATTTTTATCAAAAATCTTTGTAACACATGCATATGAATTCATGCAATTTAGGGCTTCTTTTTGTCATATCAGAATTGCCAATGTCACTGCTTTGGGGCTATTATTAATAAAATATGTATAAATGAAAGTAAACTCTAGAACTTTGATACCACAACATATTTTAGGTTAAGTACTATTTTACTACAAACCATAAGCCCTATTTGGTGACAGGAGTAACAACTCCCTCTTAATAAATATATTTCTCTTAGCAAACCAACTGTAAAAATGTAGTGAATTAGACAAAAATATTTCAGTAAACAATGGTCAAAACTTTTCTTTTTAATTAGTTTTTCTCTCAGAATCTGATTATGCAAATTTTGAGTATATTTAAATGGATTTATTTTTTAGATATTTTCAAAATAATAGTATTATTAAAAGACATGTTATTTCAATATCTTGTTTATATTTTACATTTTCGAAATACACTTTGTAAATTAGTTTCAGTTTAATGTTTTGTATATGAACATTTTACTGATTAGGCAAATTGTGGATAAGTGAAATTGCAGTTGATGATTCTGCAGATGATGATGTACTGCAAAGATTTGATTATTTGAGAGTTAAGGGAGAGTTTTCAAAAATATTTTCAAAATTTGGTAAAGCATTTATGAAATTCACTATCTTCTTTCATTCCTATTTCTTAGGATGACTATTTATTTATAGAGTTCAACTTAATTGTCAACACATCAGTCTTGGTGCAATGAATAGCAAAAAAATTTAAATGTAAGCATCAATTTAAAAAATTTCTCCATAATACTAAAAAGAAAATATATATAAAAAAGATTTTTTCTTCAATTTTTTTTAATGATATAAATTTATTAAATATGGCCCACAATTTTAAGAGTTAAGGGGTGTGTGTGTGGGGGGGGGGTGTTTGGTTGGCTGGGAACCAGAGTTATTTTAGGTTGTTCCACTTAGATTGCACAGGTTGTAAAGGATCATCTGAAGAGATTAACACGACCGTAGTCGTTTTTTTTTTTATATTTTTTTTTATTATTTCACACTTTAACAATAAACAAGTCAAAAGTGGTATCAACTTAATCTTCAAGATTATGATTTATTATCTTCAGCTGCCATTTTCACCATTTCACCAGAAATATAGCAATAGCAGCAAGAGGGACAAAGCTTTGAGCTGGTAAAATGAATATTCCTTTTCAAAATCTAGTAAAATATCAGGCACTGTATACCAATCTCACTTGACTACAGTCATGTAGAAAATTCTCCTTTTTAATGGTACAAGTGTGTTTAAATATGCTCATTAAGTGTTAAGGGTTGTGAAAAGGCTAGAGATATTTGCAGTTTTCTACTTTTGCAGTAATCCTGTACTCCTAAAACTTGTACATGTGAAGGGCCAACTGTATTAATAGATAAAACTTACTTCTACTTTCTGAGCCAATAACGAAGGCTTAAAATTTGATTTTACAACAACTTTAACTTCCATCTTGTGTCGTCCAACTTCCCTGACCAAAGGTATTACACGGAAAGGCAAATTAATGTCTTTGGTTGTTCGGTATCTAAAAAAGTACAAGGAAAGAGAGAAAGAGAGAGAAAGGGAAGGAGAAAGATAATTCATTTTACAGGTCCATACAAAACTTTAAAATAAAATAAAAAGTTTCACAATTTAGTAATTGTGCAAACAAACTTTATAAAACTTATTGGGATATCAAATAACAAATGTTACAAGGGTTGATTGATAAAGTTTCCAATGCTATAAACAAATTTTAGGCCAGAGAGAATAAGGAAACTGGTATGATATTTATTTCACTTTAAAATTGCATATTTATTTTTCAAAATAGTCATACGCCATTTAGTGCTACACATTTTATCATTCTATTCAGGAAGAAAGTTTTCAGTTTCCTTTTCATTCAATTGTGCACAGTAACTTCATCAGTTAATGTTAATCTTTTAAAGCCTTTTTCAATTTCAAGAACAACCAGACAACTGATGGTGCCAAATCAGGGCTCTATGAAAGATGTACAGCAACTATGAATTCCAGACTTCCCACCATTTGTTGATTGACAATGTGTTGATGTGATGCAAATAAGAAAAGGTTCTACTTTCAGGCAACATCATGTGGATGCATAATTTGACTGCTCACATTTCATGTAAAGAGCTTGATTGCTGCTCTATACAAAGTTCAAATGTACTACTCATGACTAATAAACTATTATTCAAGTTTTGTCTCACAGCAAACTAACAGACCTTTATACTGAATATACACTCAAATCAGTTGCTATTTCTACTATTAGTAACAACACTCAATGGGAGACCTTACTTATCAATCAACCCTTGTATTAATCCATTAACTGCAGTAGGAAGAGCAGTGCAGTTATTTTCTAAAAGTAGTAGTAACTAACTTTTGAATTAAAGGATTTTTTTTAAACATTTACTTGATTATGATGTTAAAGAGTGTAAATAAAAAACAAATATCACTGAACCAAATAGTTTAAAAGGAAAATTAAAATTTTAAAAAATATAAAAAAATATTTAGAAAAATTAACTTTTGCATGGTAGATTTCAAAGCAGAGTACAACGACTAATCCAAAATCTCAGATTTTATACATATATGTTGTAACATGCAAACAGTTGCAACCCAACACTATAGTGGGAATTCAATCCCTGATCATAGACCAGTAATGCTTTGAGTTGAAGTCCCCACCATCAACATTTGAAGAAATCTCCAGACTCAGTATTGAAGTGTTCCCGAGTTGTCACCAACTGTTTCACCCTTCCTCTAAGAATAAGTGAGTTTTACTGGTTAGTATTTTATGTAAACATTCAAATTTTAAGGTTTTCTAAGGTTAGTTTTATATCAAAGGCTAGCAATATAGTTATTGCTGACTTATTGTCTCAGTTCACCCAAGTGGTTATAAAACTGAAGTCAGGTGTTCTCAGTTTATACTCAATCTATCTAGATAACTCTGAATTGAGTTTGGTGTTGATCCCTATGGACTCCTTTCACTGGATCAATTTATTGGAACCAATTACTCCTTGTAATTGGTTCCAGCTTTTTTAATCCATCCACGTATACAAAAATCTTAACCCATCTCTTTCCTAAAAAAAAAAAAAAGTATCTATCTTAGGCTAGACATAATGAGGTCGGTTGTTAATGTGTTCTGTGACAAGGTAGGATCCCTACCCACTCAATGACAATGTATCCCTTTGTTATCTTTCAGCTTCATAAAAGTCGCATTGAAATGAAGATTTTCCAGGTTACTTTTCTTTTTAGAGGAGTAAATTCTAGAAACTAACATGTTTTGAGGTGAATAGGAGACCAGATTTGAAGATAAATACTTCTTCACTATCTGATATGATCACTTTCACAATGATATAGGAAAAGCTTTTTATTGATAATAACCAGCTTTATTATGCTGCAAGAGGAGAAAAACATTTGATATCATTGTCTCAGACAAAATAGCCTATAAGCTTTGACTGGTTGAACGAAGAAATTTCTATCAATCACCATCAAAATGGAAATTTTTATCATTCACAATGAGCTACAATATATGTGACTGATGGAAATATCCATCTTTTACAATTGTTTAAAATAATTTAAATATTTTTTTATATACATAGAAATTCAGGAAACCTTTAATAAGCACTATTTTTTAGATCTAATGTATTTTTAAAAGATGAAATGTTTTTTTTAGTGGTGAAACAAAAATATCTCCCAAAAAATAAGTCACAAGTATCTTTGTTATTAGAGTAAGTCTATTAGCAATCTTAGTAGTTGGGATCCCATAGAAAATGGTGGACAACGATTAAAGTGTAAAGCCTCAGCTTGATGGGAAGGATAATCTGTCAGATGTGTAGGAATACTGTGATGACTTTGATGTACTGATCCATCTTACCATTATTGCTCAGACACTGGAAACTTCCACCTCTTTAAGCAGTTGGGAATGTTGATGTGAATGATCTAAAACTTAGACATGAATTCTGAGGCCTATTTATTTTATAACCAGTTAAAAAGTACAATATGATTTGGGTTATTGCAAATAAAGGCATTATTTGAATATAACAGCTGTCCTAGCTTAACAAATATGCTATGTACAGTTCTTAAAAATCTAATATCCTATGACAATTCTAAATAGAAATTTGGAATCTGTATACAATTTAATCTTATACAACATTTGTCTAGGTAACAGACAAACTTTTTACCTAATGTAATAATTATGTATTACTATAAAGTGTGTAATTGTTTACTTGTATGCATATTATAATTGATCTGGGAAGTGAAAATTAGTCTATATGGGTAACTTGATTCAAGGATGACTATGGGATAGATGACAACTGGCTTTCATGGCCACTGGTGACCATCACAAGTCAATTCAGTTCAAATTTATTTTCAGTCAAACTGCAAAAGGGGTATATGTTTATTCATAAAGAGTACAAAATAATGCACTTACCTCATCAGTTCAAATTCACCATCAGGTGGAATGAAACTAATACTGTGTTCAGTCTCAAATTTGCTTAATTTAACACACTGATGGAACTGGCAATCATCAATTGCAATAGAGTTCTTACCAGATGTAGTGGTTCTGTAAAAATGTACAAAGTGGATTTTCAAGTTTCTTCACAACAAAAAGGTTAGCAGTTCCCAAAACATTAGTACAGAGAAATATATTTATCCATGACCAGTAATAAAATTCACACTATATTATATACAATGATCATGAAAAAAATAGTTAAATGAAACATTAAAAAAAATAACATAAATTATAAAATGCTATTTAGAAAATGTACAGCATCTTGTCCTTGGTATAACCAAAAAGATGGGAGCATATGAAAATCTCAATGAGAAGTCATGAGATCAGCATGGAAATCAAAGAAGGCACTTCTAAGAACATTAAAATAAGATCTGACTCATTCAACATTTCAGAAAAAAAAACTGATACCCAAAGATAGTTGGAGTGTACACAGCCAAAACGTTTTGGTGAAACAAAACCACATAGAATGATTAAAACACTAACAAACTTCAAATGGTCATTATCTCAATAAAAACAAAGTGTATAAACTTACCCACTTGTGCGCCCACTGTCCTCAAGATTACCTTTGCCTTTTGTATCAACTAAAAGTTTATCATTAATTCCAAATTTGCATTCTGGCATTCCACTCAAATAACTTTTCATTACAACTTTACCAGCAACATGTGCACTCAGAACCTGACCTACAGATAAAAAATAAGAATGTTTATCAAATTGATAATCAATAAAAACATTTTTCAAAATGTAGATGTAACTTGTAAAAGAAGTCATTGGAAAAAAAATCATAACTTCAGCTTAGGAAACAAACCATCAAAAAAAAAAAAAAATTCATAATTGTCAATTGTCAAATTTATTGTCAACATTTAGTATATTTAAATATTACTTATAACTACAGGCTATGTCAAGTATTTTAGAACACTTTTCAGCAGGCCATAAATTGGAAAAACTGCCTAATGTATTATGTGGCATGTGCCAAATTTTAAAATTATTTTTTTTTTTTTTTTTAAGATGCATAAGGAGCATTAAAATGGCAGTTTCAAATGTCACACAGCAAATGAAAAGGTGTCATGTTTGTAGCACTAGCAGTCAACTACAGCAACCTGAAGAAAGCAAACTTCTTTAAAGTGGTTGTCTTTCATATTCAAGATCAGTAATGAGTGTGCTTTCTAGTAGGAATATGCCATTAGTGGTCAGATGTCAAAAAGATGACCATGTTTGCCCAGCAGGTTCAAGACATCATCAACCACAACTCCAGAAAGTTGATGAGGGCCACTGCTAAGCAGCTCAAAATAACAGAGTCTACTAACAGACATTTTTTGAGAAAAAATCTGACAAAATCTGGGAGAAACATGATCTGAACAAAACATTTGGCTGAAAAAATTTAAGCACCCTGATGAGCATAGCATGCTCTGGTTTTTCTCTGATGTGAAGAATTTTAATCAAAACTAGAACATGAACAGAAAAAAATGATATATGTCTCTATTCAGACCTCAAAGGTTACCGAAGACAAGACAAGTTCACATTTTTATGGGTGTCCTAGAATCATGACCAACAAGGACCATGTCATGCCAACCTACACCTCCTTGCAGGGCCTTTGATTTAATGCTACTGAATACTGAAGTATTCCAGCAAGACTGTCACCTCATGTGACTCACAAGTAGCTAGCTAAATTTTTTTTTACATTCATGTCATCCCCAAATTGTGGCCTCCAAGCTTTCCTGATTTGAATCCCACATTTGAGGCATCATTGAGAGGAGACCACCCAGCTACCTTACTCATTAAATGCTACTATCAGAGATGTGATAGCCAACATGAATGAGCAACCTCTTTTGGGGGTATGCAGTTGCTTCCAATGCTACCCCTCTCAAAACATGAGCAATGTTATTGAATAAATTTGAACAGGTGTATATTTTTTTTGAAGAATATACTAATATTTTTCTATTGAATATATTTGTTCTGTCTTTATATTATATAATGAAATAACTATAAATACATGCTACAGAGTATACTTTTAAAATAAATAATCTCAGATAGAAATTCAAATATATACAAGATTTTTTCACAGGTAAAAACTAGAATCAAATAAATGATTGTTTCTATGTTTCATTTTTTATGGATATATCTAGATTATCATTCTAAAGATTTGGATTTTCTATTTCAGATGTTAGAATTTTTTTGATAGAACATCAAAGTGAAGATGAATAAATGCAATTGTACTGCCAAAGCTACCTACATCATCAAGAGTGCTTGGGGTCTGTAGAGAGCTTCAGAACAGGCTGTACTATTGGTTTAAAAAATTAATTTCAGGTGATTTGTTTCTTCAAAATAAACTTGCCCAAGGTTGAAGTTGTTACCTGACAATGAAGAATTCAGAACAGCCATGTAGGCTCATCCAGAAATAAACAGTTGGGCATTAGAAGCAAACCTGGGAGTAATCACTACAACAGAAGAAAGACAACTAGTACGAATGATCAAGACAATGCCAAAGCAGATATCCTATGATTTGACTGATAAACTGCAGTTTACAGTTTGACACATGCTGCAAATTTTTTGTTTCTTTCACATTTTTTTTAAAGTCACATACTAATTATAAAAAGTGGTTTGTATGATAACTGAAAACATGGCCGCTTTCTTTAGTGGGAACAAACTTACTCTCTGCTCAACTTTTCCAAAACCAAATCTTCACGCCAAAAAGATTTTTCTATTTGGTGATGCTGTAATTGCCCATCACAGCCTTGTGCAACCTAATCACACCACAGTTCTATCATCATGATTTGTAACTGAGGCATTGAAAGTTGTAAACATTTTAGCAAGCAGTGGTGAGATGGATGGTGTCTATCTTACTGCAGAATATTGCATGCTCGTCACCCGCTCTCTCTGTTAATATAGAGACTTTCAATTCTTCCACTTTGCGATTTCATCCGAGCACTCTGAGCAATTTATCTAATAGTCTGGAACAAAGCATGAGTCTGGAGATCCTCGTGGCAAAAAATCACATGACATAATGGAAGTGTGTCTACCTCAACTGCTGCTCTCTGTCTTCTCTTCTAGCTGTCATTCACCTCTGGTCTAATGCTTTTCTGGACCCTCGCCCAACATTGGCGTGGGGTTCAACAGGATCTGGGGTTCCAGGATTTTCCAAATATCCAATCAGAACTTTCTGCTGACAGTATCCTGAGAAGCAATTTTCATGTTGATACAACATCTTGTTCTCTCCACTTCACTTGCTTGCACCTCACAACAGTACCTTTCAGTGGGCGTATTCATTTTCCTCCCACTTCCTCATATCAGGTCCTCAATGCTGCTACTATCCAAGGAATAGGCATTTCACTTAACTCTGTGGATACCCGACACAAAACAGATGCTATTTTTAATGTTACCGTAAAATTAACTGCATTTCTTATTCCTAATTATCACGTTTGGTCCGTAACTTTTCCTTTTTCCCACTTGACCAAAATTTTCTGGGCTAAGAAAATTTTGTTCCCTAACCCCTTCCAAGCAGTCCAGTGTTACTTCTTGTCTCTTTCTTTCACCACTTGAAGTTGAAAGAAAGAAAACATCTTGCCTCTGCTCTCTGGGGTGGTCCCTTGGACATCACTTTAACCAGATGTCCAAGTGAATTTCAGCGCTATCTTCTAGTGAGGTCCTTATTCACAAAATGAGAAACAAAATAAAAGTATATTTTCTCTTGTTTTCAGTATGTCCTTCAATCTATCTACTACCTTCTTAGTCTTTGTGTTCATTTTTGATTTAAGCCATTTTTTTTTTCTTTCTTCAAATTATCAGCATTCTTACAGTGTCACAGTTTGTCAACTATGACCCCAGTTTTTATTAAGATGGAATAAATTCACTGTTAGATCATTGATAACAATGTGTTAATTCTAATGGTGGTGCTTACTTTGACAAATAAAGTTGCATTTGAGCCAAATCAGAAGTTCTGAACAATTTGTGGTTCAAAATGGCCATTTATTTTGATTCAATCTAATTGTTTCTGAAATAGGTACAATTTCAAACTGAAGTGCATTACAATTAAATGTTTAGTAGTTGAAGAAACTTACCTTGTGGAGACATCAATAGATTGACAGACTCTAGGACATCTAAAAAGAGTTCATTGCGTCTGTATTTAATACCTTCTCGGCGCCATCCAATCTGGCCTGTTACTTGTGATGTTATCTGGCTTGTCTCCTCTTTGCTCTAAGGAAATGTCAAAATTTTGTTTCATAGAAGTGCCACATAAATATAAAAAAACAAAATTCAAGATACAGACAATATCAAATATTGAGACACTAAAACTTTGTATACTTTTGTTGTAACACATTTCAGTTGATCTATTTGTGAAATAAAAGAAAACACTTGTTCTTCCCAGGGAAATAAAAAAAAAATAATAAAAAAAGTGCACCATATTTAGAGGGAGGAATCAAAGATTACCCTCTCATGGATGAAGTCAAGATAATTGATAAAGAGCACAGTCAGCTAGGTGATTAAATTGAGCTAATATTAATTTTAATACTATGGTTTCATTTGCTGGCTTAAAAGGATGTTGCAGAATTTTCCCCACCAGAGAAAAATGAGATTGTTTTTGAGGAAAATAGTTCTAATAGAGTATGAAAAATACTACATATTACAGAAAAAAACGAGGTGAAATCATGCTTGAAAAGACAGTGCACATTCTGACAAAAAACTTTGACAAGAGCTCTCTGTTTAATGCTCGTTGTAGGTGCATGAATCTAACCAAAAAAGAGTTTGTTATGTATGCTGGTATTGTCAACAAAGAATGTGAAAAGTTTAGAATAAAGGAAATTACACCAGATATGTTCAAAGGGTTAATTTTTGTTCAAGGTTTAACAGTTAAAAAAATATGAGCAAAGATTTTAACAAAAATATTACACTGCAAGAAATAGTGGACAATTACCAGACAATTCTAAGTCTAAAACACAATGCTGAAGAAATTCAGAAAAAAAAAGAATGTGCATTGGTACAAGCAACAGACAAATGTACAAATGGAGAATAAATCCTTATCCTTGTTACATCTTGGAAATGACTGCCCATTTAAAAATGCAGAATGTTAGAAGTGTGCTAAATGGGGACATATAAAGCCACACTGCAAAAGCAAACCAAGAAAAAAAATAGTGGTAGTGATATTTCAATAATCAATGAAACTACATGGAAGGATATTGGAAAGCCTTTATTAAAAAAGACTTCCAAAGTCACAATTTCAGTTTCTGGTGAAAGTTTTTTTTTTTTTTTTTGAGAAATGACTTGTAATGTCTCATTCTGTAATGAGCATGTAAAACTAAAGGTTATGTATTAAAAAATGCTACAAATTTATTCAGTACTGACTAGATGGAACTATTTGAACTTTGGGATTTGCCAATAAATGTTTATTGCAAAAAAAAATAAAATAAAATAAAAAATAAAAAAAATAAAACGTGGACAAGCGACCAATTTAAAAAGTCAGAGCAAAAATCTTAAGAATGAATTAAAAAAATGTTTTCCAAATGTTCTGTCAAATGAACTGGGTCAATATTCAAAATTCAAGGCAGTTTTTCAAGTAAAAAAAAAAAAAAAAAAAGTTTAACACCAGTATTTAAGTTAAAACAGAATATACCATATGCAGCATTGGAGCAAGTCAACAGAAAGTTGGACAGACTTCAAAGAATTGGTATAATAGAAAAAAAATTAACCATTCAAAATGTGTTGCACCAGCAGTGTACGTAAAGAAAAAAAAAATTCTTGTTTGCACAGATTTCTCAACAGGTTTAAACAGTTGTTTAGAAACACAACTACTCATTACCAAGTTCAAAATAAACAAGTCCAGTTGACATATTAATGAGTTATTTTTTTTTTTATCTATTTCATTGCCATTTTAGTTTTCTCCTGAAAGAAAGAAGGTTCTTTTCACTATACAAAATATACATGAGGGCTCTTGAATGGATTAGGTAAAATCTGTTAACAGTAGCAAATATGTAAAAAAGTGGTTTAAATATTCCAAATTGTTAGATATGTTAATAATGCTTCAAGATTAGATACTATGTAGACAATATTTGTAATTAGATGCAATTTCTTTTAATCACAAACAACAAATTGAAGCAAATTATAATAACATAAAATACATCTTGACATTTGCAACAAGAAAACAATTTTCATTTATGTATTTTTTAGTAAACCAATATCATAAATTTATAAAAATGATTACAAAAGATATTTTCAAAAATTTATTAAACAAAAACTATTTAAAGATATTAACACTTACTACAAAGTTTTATAGAGTAACTGTTAAAATTTTATTACAGCAACATAAAATACACATCGTATGTTTAGGTACTAAGCTAATAGGACATTCAGCAGCACTAGGTTTTCATCGTTAGTGAGTATTTGGCAAAATATATTTTGGAGATGTTGCCAAGGTTTTTGTGTGATTGAATTAAGCAAAATAAATTTAATTACTGTTGTGCAATGATATTTAAAAAAAAAAAAAAATTATGAAATCACTACCAACAAAAATTTGCCTATTATTAGTAAAATAATTTGAAACAACAGGATGTTTATATGATGGTAAATGTCATGTGAGATCATTGGTATTTGAAGAACAAGTTAACTAAGCATCTGGAAGATGCTATATTAATCTTCAAGAGTTTCTGTGCATCATGCATGTCAATATCTTAAATTATTTCAGTTTAATACATTTTAAAAAATATTTCTTTTGTAATCACTTTGCAAATCAATTTATTTTTTTTTAACAATTTCAGAAAATAATAGTAAATTGGTTGAATTTCTTTTCTGTAAATGTAGAAATATACCTGAGATTTGACACCCTGCTGAGTAATAAAGGTTTTCAGAATTCCAGTATCTGTGTTTTGTGGATATCCGAAGTCCAAAATTTCTAGAAAAAGAAAATTATCTTTAGTAGTAAAAAATAATTATTTACATACATTCAATATTGAAAACTTGAAATTTTATTTTAAAAGAAATCCAAATTTTAACTTTTATAATTTCTTGCCTTAAATAAATTTAGAATATGCTAGTGGGAATAGTTATTGATTACATAGACAAAAAAAAGATTGTTAATTCTTTGATAGTGAAGGAAGTTTTGTTTATGATCACTCTTGGGAAAGCATCAGACCACTGAAGTTTGGTTATTGGTAGCAGAGAGAATGAAAAGGACACTCTCTCAATTCAGAGAGTGATCAATGAAACCATTGACAGCTGGGATGAGGAAACTTTGTAAAGGCTGAGCATGATGCATTTTTTGAAACAGAAAAACTCAGATGAGCAGATTATCATCAATTATGAAAGAACAGGGACATTAGAAACTCCTAGATAAGAAAAGTCCTTTTACAGTTCCCTTTAATGAAGCTATTGAAAGTTTGACTTTTCATGGAATGGTATGAAGCAAAAGACAAAATGGACACGAAGTTGATGAATTTTTGTCAAATGCTATTGTTGGCAAAAACAATGAAACAAGAACTTCAAGCAACAGCGACTGGATGTTTTCCTCACAAAACAATCACCACCTCATTTTGATTCTTTTAATTTTCTTATCCATATTTTCGGTATTTAAATGACAGGTACTGTTATTTTAATAGTAAAATATCTGAAACATACATACAAAGAAGTGCTGAAAAGTTTTTAGTCTGATCAAGAAAGTATAAAAAAAAAAAAGTTCATGTGTCTGGTTATTAGGCTGGATTTTGTGAGGTGAGTCAAACTGAGAAATTTTTTTTCTTAACATCCCTTGTACACACAATAATTTGTATACACAAATAAAATAGAAAAGTTTAATTACTGGAGGATTAGGTATTTTAGCTAGTGTGTGCATATGCATATATATATATATATATATATATATATAAAACCCAAATTTTGTTTAAAAATGCTCCTTTTTTATCATTCAATTTAATACAACTAAATCAAATTCAAGTGTACATTTTTCTTAAAATATATAGAACTAATAAATCTAACTATTATAGAAGTCATTTCAGTTAGTTACCCAGTTTTGCCTTTTAAGAATTTACAGTGTTTTTGTAGAGCTAATTTATTTCTTTTTCAACTCAAACTATTCTTTATTGCAGAAATGAGAAAATGTACAAATATTCAGTTGATTTTATTTAAAGTATCTCAGAAAAGCAATATATAATTTTATTTTTACATAATAGCTATATTTCTAGTATTTATACTGCTTCAAAACAACATTTCAGCTGAAAGTAAAATGACAAAAATATTAAGAGCAAGTATCAGCAAAGTTCTTTGAAAGTGTGCCAGATTAATAATCTTGCAAGCCAATTCTTATACAATTCCTTCAGCAGTATTAAAGAATGAGAATGATGAAAATTTGTTTTGGGATAAAACAATCAAACTGTACTTCCAAATGTGTGCTTCTTATCAAAATTGACTGTAAATATTAAAACCAACTTATATATAGATGTAAAATGTTTCTTCTTTGAAAATGTCTTCTAACAACTGCTGAAATAAATTGTCAGGTTTAAGATTTTAAATGTTTTTATGTCAGAGGTATTCACAAAAATCAATTAAGTTTCACTTTGTAAAAATTTTTCTATGATTAATTGCTATATATCATCTGATAGAAAGAAAAGAATAGAAAAATTATTATCCAATCATTGCAATACTGTATATATATATATATATATATATATATATATATATATATATATATATATATATATATATATACAGGAGTTTGGTTAAATTCAACTGACATGGTCTGTTTTATTTTTTATTATATCTTTCTAATTTCCAAAGAAGTTGTACATCCAAATCAACATTGTGTATAAACTGTCCAAATTACAAAAAGAAAAAGAAAAGTACTTTCAACCATCTCATTATCAACAAGTGAATGTTGTCAGTATAGTAGATTTTTTTTTGTTGGATACATTATGACAATTTTTTTTTCTATGTTACAGTTCATATATATAAAATGGCATGTGTAGAATGGTTTAAGTGCACCAGAAAAGAATCTATTAAATATTTTATAAGTATCATTATTATTTAAATTGTATCTTAAAATATTTTATGTGCACTTTAAACTACTATCTCCTACCAGTATAACAACTTGAAATGTAAAAAAACTGCAAGATTAAAGACTTTGTTGGTAGAATTTATCAGAACTTGTTTAATTCTTGCAGCCTATATATATATATATATATTACAGAGTTCACAGATACTACAAAGATTGTAGGTAAGTGTCACTCAAGATATAAATAACTTTCATTTTTTATGGCTATTATGCTAATTCAAGAACTATATTCCATAGGGTCAGCGAGCCAAATGAATTAAATGTCAGTGTGTCAGATTTAGACTGCAAATTGTAGATTGTTACTCCTGATTTAGAGTATTTAGACTTCATTCAAGCACGTAAAAAATAGAATCGAACTTATGCCTTTCTGACTCAACATTTGTAGAAGCTAGAGAGGTAAAATAGGTAGAATACATATTGTGAAAACCTAAAAGTAGCTGAACCTAGGGTATAAAATTCTAGATCAGTGTTTTGGTTTGGTTTGTTTTACGGCATATCGACCACAATGGGTTATTTAATGTTGACAACATTTTTTTCCTGGTAATATTTTGTTTTGTCAAAAATCTATTTCTGGTAATATTTTTTCCTCAAAAATGTATAGCTGGTAATATTATTTTCAAAAACGTATTGCTGGTAATCGTTTTTTTCAAAAACGTATTGCTGGTAATCGTTTTTTTCCTTCAAAAATTTATTTCTGCTAATAATTTTTTTACAAAGTATTTCTGGTATTAAACCTATTTTTACACTTTTATAATGCTTTTTACCTCAGTTTCAGAGTTAACTATTTGCCCATAGCTGGGACCCTAACAGGTGCTACCACTCCGGGTCAAGGTAAACCTGGGAACATAAGCAATTAAGAGGTGATTCTGTGAGCCTCAAAACCTCCTGATCAGAGGCCTTGCTGCTGAACGTAGTTTATCGTCTTACCCAGGACGATCTAGATCAGTGGAGAAAGAACCATGAGCCTCCGACAGAGTTGGGAAACCTGTTGGAGAGGAAGTATGGCTCAAGAAACCCAGTACATTTGCACATCAAAATAAGGGAGAAAGATAAGGACCAGTGTATGACCCCCAAAATATTCTGAGTGGATGTCCCAGACACATCTTAGACATATGACAAATAATTAGTTTGTTTAAGGATGAAGTGAATGATGAGGAAAGACAAGAGAAGGAGGTACAGGCCAAACCAAATTCTTGTAAAAACTTAAAATAAAAGAAGAAAAAAAAAAAAGAAAGAAAAGGGACTCACCTAGTTAATGTGATTATTTAAGGTAGTGGAAAAAGAAAAAGAATTGTAAACTTCTTTTAACATTGTATAAAGTAATCTTTGAGATCAAATGGGCACATCAGGAAAAGCTGAACTTGTGCTCTCCTAACTCAACATTTTAAGAAATTAAAGATTAGATGAAATATATATCAGGATTCTGAAAGTAAAAATTGAAGTAAGATAGCTGAGAAAGTCACCCTGCAAGTTGGTGTGAAACATTCACCCAAGGAGTATTTTCTCTTTTCTATTTAATATGCCTCACAGAACTGCAACATCAATCCTTTGACACATTTAGATGAATATACCAAGGTACCATGCATACAAATTCTAAAGTATGATCTATCCTGGATGATATAGGCAATATAAACTGCTGCCTCTATGCATTCAAATAGCTATCCAATTAACCTAAGCGATCAAGACTCGTTGATCAACTTTTTCAGATTCAAGCATTTCATTGGTACAACATGCCAACAAGTGATGAAGACTATGCATATTTAATTGGTCCATTGCAGGTTGAGTGAAAATGTTAAGACCAACATTTTTACAGGATGTAGATTCAGAACTTCCTATCAAAAACAATTATTTATCAATAATATTGCATCAGTTTCAGCCCCCAAAGAAGTCAATGTAAATGCAAATAATTCCTTCAAATGTTGTTGTAACATGAAAACAATGAATTTATCCATAAAAAACATTCTAACAACTCCAAAAACTTATACCAAACTTTAAGAGCATCACATAAACCATGTGCTGTTTTCTTTAATTTCCATTGAAAAGCTCAGGTGAGAGTCACAAAAAGTGTTTTTTTTTTTTATTTTATTAATTTTCAAGTCTGCACCGTTAACAGGCACAGTGTGACAAACCTGTTGATTAGTTAATGAAAGAACAAGATGAACTTTTAAAAACTTGTTAGTGAATTAACCGTCTTCCTCAAACCCACGTATTACAAATCTAGCTTGGGTGATAACATTGCTGTCCATCGTCTTTTCATTAATAACCCATTTCACAGGCATAAGATTTTGACCTTGATATTCATGTTCATGGTATATAATTATTGCTCCAGTTCTTAATTTCATTTTTCTTTGTAGAAACAACTACAGCTACGACTAAATTACACTGAGTGTCTACAATAACCTGGTTGTCCAGTTCCTGAATATCATAACTATTGTCAGAATTAAGTTTTTTCAAAAAAAAAAAAAAAAAAAAAAAAGTAACATTTTGCTCCATTTCAAGATTCAAGATTTCATTAAATTTAGTTGCTATGGAATCTTGACAAACCTAGAGGAGCTTCTAAAATTTGACACAAATTTTATAATACTCCAAATTAATAAGCTTTTCAGAATTGCAGTAATCAAACTAATTTTTGAGAACTGTCTAATTAAATCAGTTCTTACCTAGTTGTAAAAGGAGAGGTAAGGAATAAATATGTGTTGTAATTTTCTTTTCCTGTTTACAAGATTATAAATTTTACCATTCTTTAGAGATTTATTAAATATAAAGGTATTTTACATTTGACAATACCAGCAGTGATATCAATTTTCATGTCTCTAAACTAACAATGAAGAGTCAATTTTTTTTAGTAATAGTTCTGCAATACTGTCAACAAAAATGAACATTGAAGTAGAGGACTGCTTGATAATTAAAGATTGCTCATAACATTTAAGGAGTTTAAATAGTACTGAAGCCATCTCATTTCATACAGTAACCAAAATAGAACTTTTTTTTCATCCTTCACCAGAATTATTACAAGTATAACTCATAAACCTAGACAACAGAGTATTTTCTGATATATCCTCCTTTTCCAGACTTATCATTGTTCTCATTTACAGGTCCAATGAAACTAGCAATATCAGTCAGCTGATACCTTATTAAATGGAAATCAGCTGAGATGTCACAAAAACGGATTTGGACATTTATTTTTCCTGATGGTTATCAGTAAGTGGATTTCATAAGTACAGAGCAAGTGGCTGGGACAAGGAGTCATTGAATGAATTACTTTTTTCAAAGAACAATGTCCTCTATAAGACAGCGACCACTACTTGCGAAAAGTCAGAAACGTCGAGGACTCAAGGAGAATGACATGAGAAGATGCCCATGAGACTGTTCACCTACCACCTATGCCCGATCTCGACTTTGCACATCTATAACAGTAGGTTACAATCTGAAAATAAAATTTGCTTACTGCTACAATTGGCTCATGGTTTTATTTCATGGGTAACAACCTGTCTGAAAGTTTATTTTTAAGCCACAAACATTTGACTGGAATAATCTGCACCCCGAGAACAAACGTGGTGTCTGGTCTGAGCTGTAACATTACAAAACTAAGTCATAGATAAGGTATATCAACATGTCTAGTACAACCTAAAGGATTCAGTTTACAATCCTATGATAACACTAAAGATTCACTTCACATTTAGTCTGATTACATTTAGGAAATCACTTGTATGGGAATATATACCATACCAGCAATGTTTCCTATATGCATATAACAGTTCAGCACAAAATATATGTTCAACTTTAACTTCACTCTAATAACAAAGACTATCACAGGCTCAGGGTGTTTCATATCTTGTGTTTTTTTGGGGTTTTTTTTACAATTGTTCATCCAATACAAGGTGCAAGAGCTACTCAAGGCAAGATAGAGGGTTACTAAATGGAGATGTTGTAAAGGACGGGACAAGGGTTGCATATTATAAGGATATGTAAGATAGATATCAGTTGAGCCTAGATGAAAAAGTTGAGATTGTAGTGATCAGGGAAGCATCCTCTTGAGAGTCCATTCCACACGGCAACAGTTCTGGGGAAGAAACTGTATAAATGGAACTTACTCCCCACCAATGAACATGAAGAGAATGAGGAATCAATTCAGTGTATGTGGTATGGTGGATCCTAACTGAAGTTTTTGGACTGTGTAAACTTAAAATACATGTTCAAACTCACTTGAGCTTACACTACAGGACCAAAACAAATTGTAGAGATCATGGAATGTAGTAAACTGTCTACTGCTTTTATACAAAGATACAGACCAAGTTTGGCCAGAAGAATACCAGTTTTTTCTCTTTCTTCAAATTAATAAAACAAACTTCAGATGATGTGACATTGAAAGAAATGTGAATTGCCAATGCTCATATTTCTTGTGGTAATACCAAATACAAATATCCAATTTAATTCTCATTTAACTGTCTTCATCCACAAGTTTAGGAGGCTACTTGTATGATGAACTAGTAGTATTTCCATAACTATGCTCAACTACCATTGTCAGATCAGCATTTATTCCAATATGGCTGTGGTGAGTAGTGCCACAGAGGTATTCACTGAAACCACTCGAAGATAAAACAATTTATATGTTAACATTTTATTTGAGTCATAACTGTTGATTTGGGTACCACTGCCTTAAAACAGAAAACAAGTTATGGTACTTACCATCTAAAATCTCATAGATCAACACAAAGTTGTTCTTTATGTTCTCCTCAGAGATTTTCCCAAAATAGGACTGCATGACTTCACACATTTTCAATAAAAATTCAAAGACCATGGCAGCATTGACATTTTGTTTTGTGACAGCTGCCAACCAAATGTTGGATCGGCGAATGTGGAAAAAACTGGTGCGAGCAATGTTAGTGACTGGAGATCTCACTTGCTGTCGAGCATGGATTACATTCACACGGAATGCATCCACTGCATTACGCCTGAAAAAAGAATGAATAGAGGGGAAAAAGGTTTTAGAAAGCAAATACACAATACTTGAAGTACAGATGGTTATAAAATATAAAATAATAGTTCTTAACCTGTTTGACTATTTGCACCCCCTTTCAAAACACCAAATAATTCTTGCATGTGTCTCCAGTGTCATGAAAAAATATAAGTGGATATCAATAACAGATCCAATGTGGCCTCAATTGTTATTTTATAAACATATATTTGATGATTGATTACAATATCAAAATAACTTTATATTCCCATGATCTATTAGATCATTAGAATGCCAATTTCTGCATGGCATCTTTCAGGGCTATGGGGTTACTTAGCAGTACCCATCTTCCCTCCACATATACACAACAGGTTGTACTTCATATTAGCAAAAATTGTTCTATTTGCTAGAACTTTGCATGATGGGATATTATGTCATACGTGATAATTCTGCTCTTTCAGTGACACATAAATAATGTACTTTACTGTTGCCACTTGTTCAATCTGCATACCACAAAACATAATATAGTTACTCTATTATATAAGTTCTTGTTTCAGAGTAAAATATTTATAGAATTGCATCAGAAACATCACAAAAAGATCATTTTTCTCTATATCAACTATATTTAAGTACAACAGATGAAAGTTGCTCCAAAAGTAATGTCTCCTATTTTATTATGTTGGACAACGCCAGAGGTAATGTTGGAGATATGGTAGTAGAGGTTAAATCTTCCCACCAATAATCCATAGTTTTTTTGTTGTTGTTGCTGCTTTATTAGAGATTACAACAATGTGGCAGTCTGTCAAAATGATAAATGTAAATAAACAAATATAGGATGAAAAAAAGATAAACCTGCCTATGTAATACAGTACATGTATTTGTAACTTTTTTTGCTTTAATAAAGCAAACAGAGTATAACCTAAGTGAATCTTAGTCTGATCCAAATACCTGACCTGGAGGTAACCAGGTAAATGACAATCTCTATGTCAGCATTCTTTTGGTTCAGTAACATTCACCTACAAATACTAAGAGGCAGAGTGCACAATACTACACTGATCCGAGATAGAAGTTCCAATCCAAATGTAAAATAACCCAGTTATTGCTTTCTAATAGATATGACGTTAATAATATAATAAAAAATATATAATTAATAAAAAAATATAAATTAAGTTACCACCCTATTATCCTTAACAGTTAATTTTTAAACTCACTATAATGGAGCATGTTTTATGAGCATCTACAAAATTCACAACTATGAATTACATTAATTTTTTGTCTTAGCAATTTACCCCTGAAGATGATATTGGATGTGAGTGAAAGCAGTTGGAAAATAAAGAATTTTTTTTCCTTAATGAGTTTAATAACAACATTAAGAAATTGATCTATGAATTTAAGAGGATTAAAATAAAAATAAGTAGACAACATATGCTGTGTGTGTATATATATATATATATATTATATATATATTATCAAGGATGATTTTCTTTTTAAATGGATGTATAGGTTGTGTGTATATTTCTAAAGTTATGGGGATGATTTATTTTCCGAACAATTGTGAAGGATTGCTGCCTAAAATATATATATATATATATATATATACACACACACATACTAGTAGTAGAGCCAGCGGCTGTTCGGGATGTAACAGTAAGAGATAGATCAAGTATCGACCATCATAAAGACTGAAAAATAAAATTGACAAAGATTATTCTTTAAGGTTGACGGACACGCAGGTCTTAATTAGTTTTTTTTCCTTTTTTTTTTAACAAATTGGTCAAACCCAAACTCAAACAAAAACATTGTTTTCAATTGTTATGAGTCTACTGATTGAAAAGATTTTTATTATAAAAAATTGTCTTGTAAATGGAATTTTTAAAGCATTCTGAATGTAAAAATAAAGAAAAAAGTGTGCAAGACAATAAGAAACACTACCTGCCAAAAAAAAAAAAAAGAAAAAAAAGTGAAGTTTTGTTGAAATTGGTTGAAAAATGTAGGAAATCCGATCCCATATATAAACGAACACAGACACACACTCACAAACAACCTGGGTTTTATAATAAGTATAACTCGATATGAGTTGTCCCCCTTTCATTCTCGACAGCAATGCTTCTTAATCATGTTTTCAAATTGATTTCATGCAAAAACAATTGTGTTTTTCCAATTTTTGGCGCTGTCAGAACCACCGCAAGGTAATTTTACGTAGTCCTGTGAAGTTTTGTTGAAATCGGTTGAAAAATGTAGGAAATCCGATCCAATATATAAACGAACAGACACACACACACAACCTGGGTTTTATAATAAGTATGATATATCATACTTATTTTAAACCAAGTTGTGTGTGTGTGTGTGTGTGTTTCTGTTAAAGCATTAATCAAAGAGTCATTTACATAGTATTTTGGCTAATAGGGAAGACTCAAGTTGTTTAGGCATTGTGAAAGCTTGCCAGCACTCAAATAATGAATGCACAGAATAAGGCCTGAAAAGAAAACTTTTGTTTTGCATCATATCAATACAAAGCTGCATTGCAATCAACAAATAGTGCTAATGCTAATAAAACTGAAATGTAGTTGTTGCAGTGTCATACGGTGTCAGTGATGATGTGAGAACTTCTACAGCCAGTGTTGATCACCATATATAAATTTTTTTATATATTTATTTTTCTTTTAATTTCATATACATAAAGACTGCCATGGGTCATAAGATATAATCTCAAATGAGAAACATGATATTGTAAAGTTACTGAGTGATGAACACAACTTTGGAAAATGTAAAGTTTGACATAAAATAATCAAAAAATAAATGTTAGCAAGAACATGAAAAACTGTCTTCAAGGACATCATAAGAGAAAAATTAAGAGTAACAAGTGATTTGACTAGCAATATTTTAAGAAGCTGGTGTTGTGACTGTAACTAGAAAGAGAAGATGCAGAATATCAAGAACATTGGCTGAAAACAGGTAAACAACTAAAGTACTGCTTTTAAAGATCACAAAAAGAAATGCATAAGTTAGATGAAAAAAATCTATGAATTTCTCAACAGTAATTTTTAGTGATGAATGTAGGACAACATTGAATTAACTTGATGGCTGGTTGAGAGTTTGGGTCATTTCTGGAAATAGTCAACTGACAACTTAGAAAACTACAGGAAGGAGGTAGAGTAATGATTTAGGCTAGTAGTGTAAGCAGTAAACTTATAGGTCTAGTCAAAGTTGATGATGTCAAGATAAAAGAATTAGATGTTTTTTTAATTATTATTACAGGTCAGAATGGAGAAACTTTAAGCTATATATTTCATAAAGACAATGCTTATTCTCATTCTGAAAAACTGACTATTGCCCACTTTGCCAAAAAGGGTTTCAAAGACATCAATGGTGTTCCCATCTTCTACATCTTTAATAAGGATAAATAAGCTGAAACTGTTCATATTAGTATATTCTGAAAATGTTACCAACACTGGTTGGGTAATACCAATTTTATCATAAAAACATTGGAATAAATAATAAAATCTGGAGATGGTACATATCAAAATTTGCACATTACATCTCAGTGGTTTTTACCAAACAGTTTACAATTGATACTTATCTACTGAGTTTTGCTATTTATTCTTTGTGATTATTTGCAGCTTTGTATTTTTTGAACGCTTTATCTTTTCTATTTAGTCACCCATCAGAATACAGAAGAAAATGAACAGAAGAAACACAAAATCTGAATTCAGTGAACAATGGGAAAATGAGAAGACTGTATACTTGCATTTATAAATATATCTTCTCTTAGAGAACAAAATATCATGAAGATTCTTAGATATATGCACATGGAATTTGTTGCTTTGAGAATAAATTCATTATTGAAAATGAAATTTGATTATCTTCTGACATTAATTTCTGGCAATTATTACCTTGTTAAAAATTTCCAGGCCGAAGAGAATTTGCTCAATCCTAAATGCTATTTCAGAACACCCGAGATATGATCAAGCATTTTCAGGTATGCAATTGATTAAAAACAAAACATGACTGATCAAAATTTAAAGAATGCTAAGCTGCAACTAATTTCACTGCAAACATGAAAAGATTGGCAAAAATCAAAAGAGACTTAAGTTTCATGTGGGGAAATATTGTTCATTTTATTTTCATATTAATTCAACAAATTACATAAAAAATACTAATTATATAAATATTGTTACAAGAATAGGAGTGTAGGATTTGTATAGCACATCCAAACTTATTTTGCTCATCCCAAACTTAATATTGAAATAAATTTTCTGACTTTTATGCAGCAAGAAATCATGTTTTTCTTTAAAAATGGAATATCCCAAATTATTTTAATGAATTAGAATTTTAGTATGAAAACTAAAAGAAATTTACTTTTGACCTTCTATGTTTGAATCAATGTATACAATTTTTTTCCATAAAAATAAGGTTTACAATGTAATAAAAATACATACCCTATGTCATCTCTGTAGACACGGGAAATTAGCACTTCACCCTTGTGATTATAGATAAAAAGTCCACCAATCATGATTTTATAGAAGTTGTATCACTGAAAAAAAAAAAAAAAAAAAAAAATTAAAAAAAATTAAAAAAAAAAAAAATCAAACATTAGAATTAAAATTCATGAAGGCATTTTACAAAAAGGATTGCTAAGACTGGCCAGAAAAACAAACTGTATAATTTCTGTTAAGAAAAAATACCATAAAACAAAAAATTCTGCTATTTCATCCAACCTAACATACTGAGTGATGGAAGATACAATTTATTGAATAATCAAGATGTTTAACAAATCATCTCTATACAAGTGCCTGCAACTTATAACTGAATGATGAGTATCACACAAGTATGGTTTCTAAGGAATATTAAAGAATTAATCCACAGCTGGTGATCAAAAAATGCCTAATTTAAAGCATAAACCCTGCTGTAAATAAAAACAAAACAAAAAAGAACTTAAAAACTGATAAGCAGTCAGTATTGAATGCAATTAAAAACTGCACACTCACACATATACAAAATGAAATATGGAAAAATGCCAAACTATTCAAAGCCTCTAAAGCTATAGACATTGTGATGAATGAGATCATGTTCAATATTGTTATTTCAAAATTTATGCAAAGATGCTGCTAGGTGTCCATTGTGCATCCCTCATGCATAAAAATGTAAAAGGACAGAGTAAACTCCCTATCTTTGTGTCCCAAGATGCACCTTAATTTTCCCATCAAAAATGGTATACTGCACACAACCAACCTGTAACAGATATTATATAGTAAAAGGAATTTATTGTTTGTTGATATTAAGTAAACAAGAACATCAGCCCAATGATGTGTCCACTTTAATTTAAAATGTAGTTAATATATTTTTCTGTAACTAAATGTGAATCATTTATCAGATGAACTAGATATTAATGGTAACTAGTACTTAGATATATTTTTTTTAAACATATTTTCTATTTTTGTTGTTGGATATATTATAAAATGTATTTTTTTAATTATTAGTGCAAACATTTTAGCTATGAAGCAAAGGCATATTTGTTATGATTGGCTGTATACTTAATTTTGTAGCATCAGATCTATTTGGCATGATATTCAAATAAGTGGAAACATATCAGACTAATGATGGTTTCAAAAATGGCTACCAGCCAAGTATGCGAATAAATATAAATTTTAATTAATGTAATTGTCTTTATCTTAGGGAATGAAACAGACAAAATATTCCTGAGGAATATAATACTTTGAACAATCTAAAACATTCCAGATGGATAGAAAACCCAAACCTCTTGTAGAGGTGTATCTAAAACCCTAATTAGTCAAGATAGTAAGAAAAGTGTCAGTAAAAGCATAAATTTTATTTTAAAAAGAACATTACTTTTCAAAATAAGCAAATTTCTAATTTTCAATATTTGAATATCTCCTGCAATAAAAATTTATTCCCTCCCTATCCAATTTCTCTGTGATCTTCACTGCAACTTGTCAATTTCAGTCAAAGTATTTCTAACCATAAAGAAATAGAAGAGAGGAAAAAAAAAATGTGGGTGAAATAGAAGAATGAAAGAGAAAGCCTTTTTATTTTTATTTTTTTTTATTTTATTTTCCTTAAGTTAAATCTTTTTGTTTTTAAGACATTAGAAACAAATAATGACTCATCCCAAAAAACTCCATTTAAATTTAACTCTGCTAAAATTTATTTGGATGACAGCCGGAATTTTGTGATGCTCAGATTGTGTCTGGACATACATTACACTCCAGATGAGATCTGGTTTTTCCTGAGTGAACATCGAGAGGAAAAGTAATAAGATTACCATAAAAAAAAAAAAAAGATAAAACCCATTGCTGGCCTGCAAGACTATTAGTGTTGAGTCTCTGTTCCATTTGCTTCATAAGTGAGGAAGAGCTGAAGGTTTATGGAGTTGGAAATTCTAATTATCCACAAGAGAGACAAGGAAACCCACAAATGAATTGAAGATGGAGATGACTGCAAGATGACTACCCAACACATAATTCTGTTTAGTCTCAATTGGAGTGAGAACTGCTGAAGAAAATTATCAAAATACAACAGTACCCCAGAGACAGCATGTGGAAGCTTTGGTAATGGGTGACATAACATCACCAAAAAAGATTTTCCAAAACTTCATCATCCTTGTTCAACTAGCTACCACTTTGGATGTGAATGAGAGTTCTTTGCTCAGAATCTCATCCTCACTCCTCATCAGAACAGGCTGTTATCAGAAAATAAAGATTAGCTTCTTATGGTCAACCCAAGATCCAAAAGATCAGTGTTCTCTTTTGAAGAGGTATTGGCCAAATGGAAAGGGGTCAAAGCAGAGAAAGCTGTACACTATGAAGTACAAGTAATTATTAAGTTTATTCCCAATAATCTGCTCATAATACACCACAAACATACCTGTATCATTTGATCTTTCTCAACATACTTTCCACTGTTTTAATTAAGTTTCATTGTTATGCTAAATGCTTCATAGTGATTGACTGGGTGAATTTTCTCATGAATTAACATTACATTTGATTTAGTTGATTATTTTCAAACTAAAAGATCTTGGTGACAGTTTGTAGACTGTCAAAATGATGAAACTTTTTTCTGTGTTAAAATCAAAATTTATTTTGGTAATACTCAGTCACTACAGGAACTATTTTGTTGTGACCCACATTGAATTTACCCAGGGATACACTACATTAAAAATCTATCAGCATCACTAATAATGTTCCAAAATCCACATGCAGTAATAATGGTAATGAACAGACCTACTTTAGAACCAAAACAGAAGAAATTAACCTACAGAAGAAAGTGCATCTTTGTCATTCAGCAAGTTCAAACATGGTTCTAGTAAAAAGGCGAGGAGAGACACTGAATTTCAATCTCATGTTTACACATTGATGTCTCATTGTGGAAGCAAATGTGAAAGTCATAAACATAAGTGTAACACACAAGCTGTCTATGATGATGCTTAGTAACTGGAGTTACAATTCAGTAACCAAAGTAACAAAAAGGCATATTGATAGAAATTGCAACCAGGAATTTGCCAATTAACCCTTCAGCATTCAACCTAGCCAAACCTTCACTGTAAATATCAGCTCTTAATGTTCAACCTACTGGAACCTGTACCATATATACTCTGCCATAATATATGATGATGATATAGCAAATAATGCAGGAAGTCACACTAACAGTGAGACTTTGGTCACAAACAATAAGCCCTTGAGAGCCAATATTTACAGGGTGGGTTTGAGCTGGTTGAATGCTTAAAGGTTATATATAAGTGACCGAGAAAGCACCAATTACAACATTATACTATTATTTAAATTCTGTTATTTTGCCTGTAGAACTGTTAGGCTTTTTATTGTGGATCTGAAGAGCTGGAATTATGATGACAGAGAGACATATATAATAATATTAGGTAAGGAATTATAAAAACAGAAGAGGATGAGGTAGGGGAAAAAGAGTGTATGAAAGCAGAAAGGATGGGAGATAAAAAAAAAAAAAAAGGAAGAGAAAAATAAAGAGGAAAAAATAAATATATAACAAGGTCTTAGGAATGGAGACAAAACATGCAGACATGTTTGCTGGCTGGATATAAAGAGAGTAAAAGATTGAAAGACAGGTATAGATAGAAAGTTGTAAAAAATTGTAAGACATAAAAATTATTTAAGGAGAGATCAAGTAAATGAAAGAGACGATGCAGTAGAAAAGACGAGAACAGAACAATGAGAATGCATAATCTTAGTTGTCAATATTCATGGAATTTCCACAGGTCCATCTAGTTTTTGATTATTAAAATGCAAGGTATGGCTGATAACTAAGATCTCCAACCACAAATTATTACTAATAGAGACAAGTTTGAACATATATTCAGTAGTATATAGAGTCCTAATGATTTACAGGACTTGTGACATAACAGTCATGCCCAAATGAGCTTGATCTCAAATTTGTTGTATTGGCATTGAGAAATAGTGTTCTTTAGTTTTGAGTACTATGCCTGAGTTATGTATAAAGCAACAATCAATTTGGCACTAGAAAGCTACATGCTAATCATAATTCACAGAATAAATGATAACTTGCAAGCACTCAAGACATTACGGCCTGAAAGAAGAACTGTTATTTTTCATCACAAGAATGCAATCAATAAACAGCATTAACAGGAAGAAGCCTGAAACTCAGTTGTTGTGCAACACTTGTACAGCTGCAGAATTTGGTAGCATTTGACTACTTAGTGTTCCATAAACTGAGAGAGACACTGAAAAGTCAACATTTTTCATCCACTGCTAAAAAACTGATGCACAAAATGGATCAAAAGTAAAATTGAAATTTTCTTTATGAACAGAATGGCAAAAAGAATGTTTGGAGTATGTGTAACACCAAGTGATGGCTATTTTCAAAATTAGACTTGTAATTTTGATATGAAATAAATTTACACTATATATTTAATTTATATATTCTAATTTAAACATTAGGTGCTATTAAAATTAGGGTCCAGTCTGGTGTTATATGTTGTAAAAAGTAAACTGAATCCAAATTTCACAACTCCCACTTTAAAACTACATGGGTGGAGGAACACGTTAAAATTTTAAAAAATTAAACGCATCTTATGACACTCTTTCTAAATTTTTATGATAACCTCAAATGGTAACATCCTGCACGCCCCTCAAAAGCAAACACACTGGACGTGAAAGTTTCCTATGACCTAGATCGTTAGGGTGCCATGTCGAGCACCTTTTATTGGCACCTCTCAGACAATGTTACTTGATAGTGCTGATTTTCTCTTCAAGTAACATATGAAAGGTTACTCGATTTTTATGATGTACCAGCAGCAAAGAACGATCTCTGATCTAATCTTATTGAATGCCTTTAAAGGTTAAGAAGAATAAAAAAGATTGCAAGTTACTTGCAATTTACTCATAACAAGTGTGTTCATGCTTTTCCCAAGGGCATAGGTTCGAGTTTAACCCCCCAAAAAAAAAAAACCGTTCCTAGTTTCCATTCTTCGTACCGTTAGACTACAGCCGCTACACACGCACC